GGTTGGGCACCAGGCTGTGGTCCTTCCTACCTCCCATGGGCAGGGAGACCCATCAAAGATCTCCCATGCTGAGAACCACACGTCCTGTCACTGCCAGGACCTTCCTCTTCCACTTGCTCTTCAGGGATGTGCTTTGCTTGGGCATCAGCTCCTGACCTGTGCCCAGGTGGTGGCCCAAGCCTGTCTGAGGGGGCTTTGTTGGCCCAGATGTGGGACTCAGGGGAGTTCTCAGGGGGGTGACATGAGTCTGGTTGATCTTGTTGCTCTTCTTTCACGCTGGGGTGGGAGGGAAGAACTTCCCTGCAGGAGGAATGCTGGACTTCCATGTGAGGCTCCTGTGACCTGCTTCTCCAGGAGCTGCCTGGTGGTGTCTCAGGTTCCCACTCACCTACAGCCAGGATGTTCACTCACGTTCCCTTGGGAGGTTTTCCCAGGAACATTCCTTGCAGCTCCTGATGTTCTCAGCCTGACACCTTCAGTGAGCACTGGGCCAAAAAGGCGCTCACATGTGCCATCCTCCAGTTTTATAGTGAGCTTTGTCTGTGCCCAGGTGTCCTGGCCTAGATCCTCCTCGTGGTCTTTGTCACCTCATTCCTCCCATGCCTGGTGCTGAAGTTGGTGACCATTCTTCTCATTTTCCTTTAGTTTTTCCATTGCTCTTCTCCACTTGGAGAATCTGCCTGTGGAAGGGCTTGATTGTGCTGGAGAAGCAGGTCCCAGGTGGAAAGTTCCTCCTCTTTCCAGCTTCTTCCTCCTCCTTACACCTTCCTCCCCTTTCCAGCTTCTTCCTCCCCTTTCCAGCTTCTTCCTCCCCTTTCCAGCTTCTTCAGTGGGGCCAGAGAAGCTGGAATAAATGATCTCATAGAACCATGGAATCATTTTGCTTGGAAAAGACCTTTAAGACCATCACATCCAACCATGAGCCCAGCAGTTCCTCAGCCTCAGATCTTTGCCTTCTTCTTGCTCACATCACCAGCTCCCTCCTTCTTAGGGAGGATCAGAACCTAAAAAGAAGCTGCTTGAAATGAGGCCAAGGCTGATGATTCCCAGGAGCTTTGGAGCAGGCACTCAGTGGTGTCCTCGTGGCTGAGTTCTGCTCACAGTTAAAGGCTTCACTTGGTGGGGTCACTGGTGTGACCAGTCCCTGGGAGCTGCAGGCAGTGCCAGGAGAGCACCTGAGCCTGGAGAGCAGGGAAGGTGGTTCTTGTTGTTCCCTTTGGTTGAGTCACTGATTTCTGGGCAGTCTCTGGGTGTCTGGGGGGAGATGGAACCATGTGGCTCCATTTCATACCCTTTGGTTTTTGCTCTCCAAAGGTCACAGAAGCCCAGACTGGTTTGGGTTGGAAAGGACCTTCAAAATCATCCAGATCCAACCCCCCTACATGGGCAGGGACACCTCCCACCAGCCCAGGCTGCTCCAAGCCCCATCCCACCTGCCCTTCAACACTGCCAGG